CTAACTTCAGGGCATGGCACTAACACATAATTCTTTCAGTGTCACAGTGACTACTCACAATGGTGATCCAAATGGCTCTCTTTATCTCATTGTATTTAGAGGGAAAAAATGTTGTTAAAGAACTGTGTGAAAGTGCATGTTTCTTTTATGTGGAAGATTTTACTATTTAGATATAGCTGTATTTAATCACATTTTCATCCAAAATAACACAATAACATTGGAACTTCTATACAAAATAGACAAATTTGGTCCATCTACCCCAGTATTCTGTCTCCAGCTGTCAGCATCAGAAGCTTCTGAAGTAGGCAGCTGTTTGAATATCTCTGCCCATGACAGAGAATCTGCTTCACCCTCTCCTAGCAATTAAAGCTTTATTCTACCCTTGATACCCAAAGGCAAACACTTAGGATTTTCTGTTAATATAAAAGTCCTTAGGTTTTGAATTGCAGTTTATATCCACGTCAATTTAATTGTTTAATCCCAAATTGTCTCTGATTTCTAGGTGTCAACAATATCCTGTGCGTGAGAACCAGCTGCAAGATGAGGGGGAAAAGGTGCTTCTTTTTTTGTGTTGAATTTGCCATCTTTGAGGGACATTTGGTGGTGCAATTTTTTCCAGCCCTTTCAAACTTGGCTATTTCTCCACTCATTTTGCCCATATATTTCAGAGTCTGAACCAAATGACAAACTTAGAAGCACGGCTAAAACTCAGGAGCCTAGTGAGATGCAGGAAAGAAAAAGAAAAACAGGAGTAACTTTTCACTTACTGCATCAGAAGCAGTTGAAAGAAAACACAACTAAGATGACACTAAATAGCGAAGGATGAAACACAGCCAAAGTGCAGGAAAAACAAGTTGTTTAGGAAGCACACTGCCAGGAACAGGGAGATAACCCTGCTAAAACATGGACTCTTTCCTGCTTCTCTTGTGCTGACAGAGGAGGTGGGAATGAGAGGAAATGGAAGAGTTGTCCCTCAGAGACAGCTGTACTCGAGTCAGCATGCAGGGCACCATCTATAACCAGAAGGAAAAAGTGAGGAGAGACAAAACCAGATGGTTTGACCCCAAGCCCATGCCTTCTTCTAGCAGAGACTGACCYGTGCACATTGTAAATTTTCAGCATTCAGTTTCGCTCATTTCCCAGCAATCCCAGACTAAATTCTGCTTGTCAGCTTTCCCATTTCCAGACTTAATATGAGAGCTGTAGAGACAGATGGCCCAGTCTGGTCTAAACATATTGATTCATTTTTTTTCTTCCCCACAGAAACCACAGAAAGGGGCTGGAATGGACCTGAAAATCATCAAGTCTCAACCCACTTGCCATGTGCAGGGACACCTCCCACGAGACAGGTTGCTCAAGGCCTTATCAAACATGGCTTTGACCATTGCCAGGGATGGGGCATCCACAACTCCCTGGGCTACATGTGTGAGTGCCTCACCAGCCTCGAATTAAAAAAAAATTCTTAATAGCTAGTATCCTTTTCCCCTCTTTTAATCTATACCCACTATTCCTTGTCCAATCAGTACAATTCCCAATGGAGTTCCCTTCCCTGTCTCCTCCATTCCCTCTCACTGTTTCCTAGTTCCTCTCTCCCAGTTTCCCTGTAGGCCTCATTTTCAGAGATTGGAAGGTTACTATGAGTTCTCCACACAGCCTTCTTTTATACAAACTCTTTCAAGTATTGGAAATATGATTTATATAAAAATAAATGCATTAGGTAGCCTAAAAGATTTATTATTTTTCTAATTTGCGTTGAAAGCAGCATATATTACATATATTGAATGCATTCAATATATTACCCTTCTGCCAGTACTCCCTACAATTTGAGCTAATGTTCAGCAATGTTTCTAAATTACTGGGAGGACTGTAGAGAATCATCCATTTCCTTATGTTTTCCAGCAGCCATGCCAAAATCATAAGTTGGAATAAGTCACTTAAAACTACAAAATGTGCTGCAACTACAGGAAACTTTTCAGAAATGCAATTTTAATTATCAGCTAAGAGACTGCAATAAGGAGTGTGTGCCAAAAGGAACCTTCCATTTGAGTGCAACTGATGATGTGATGAGGGACAGCTGACAAATCACCTCTGAGGAACAATTTCTCTTCCACCAAAGTCAGTTAGGGTGTAGGAAAGCATCTGGAGGATGTGTTCCTTGCTCAGTCCAGTTTTCTTTATGGAGCCACAAAACTAAGTCCATGATGTAGTTTTTAAACCCAAAAACTGCAGACCACACCTCTGAGGGTGGGGAACATTGGTCTCTTTTGGACTCTGGTACATCATTTCTATGAGTGCCAGGAATGGTTTTAGGTTCAATTGCCCCACACAAATGGGTATTACTGCCTTCTAAAGGGAAGGAACAACACAGTAGGCAGGAAGACAAGACTATTAAAGTGCATTTGTCAGAAAAAAAACCCCAGAAACAGAACAATATGCCCAAAACCTGACTTAAACAGAAAGCTCAGATCACAAGAAAACTGAATCAATCTGCATCCTAGCCAAGAAGGGGTTTCCCCCTCTACTGGAGAACAGCTCAAATTCATTCTAACATTGTGAGAGCAAAGGCACCACTCGCAGCACACCATTGAGTGCAAACTTCCCATACCAGTGGGATTTGGCAGCTGCTGATGCAGACCACTCACTTGGGCTGCGGTGGCTCCCCAGCTGTAGGCCCAGCATCAGATCAGCACAAATATTACAGTTTGCCCCGGGGCTCTCTGCTTCACCGGGCTGTACAAGCTTTTGCTCAGTGTGAAAGGTGCTGCACAAAACTCACCCTCACAGGCAATTCCTGCCGCTGCAGGGGAGGGATGTGGATCACTCCKGAGCACACATCTATCCTGTGGCACCATCCCTTTCTGTGGCACCATCCCTACTGTCCAGCACGCAGGAGACCCCTCACAGGCTTCTCTCTCAGTGAGGCTACCCAGCATCTGTTTATCTTTACACCAGGAAAGGCACATGGGTAACAGGAGAAACCCTTATGATGTTGTATTTCATATTCTACTCAAACATTTTTTTTTTTAATGAATGCTTACTATTTAAATTTCTATAATGATGTTATCAGTAGGACATTTGGTTGGGTTGACATATCAACAATATTGAGACTTTTGACACTGTRGATAGAGGTGGGGTGAGGTTTTCAAATGCACATGGGAATTTAGTTCCCCTTGATACCACATATCAAGAACATAAGCAGCAGAAAATCCTACTGCCTGTCTGCATTTTTAGCTGCTAAGTACCTTTTAAATTCTGATTCTTAAGGACTAAGACCAAAATCCCAGATCTGTTTAAATCTGCAATAAATTCCCATTGATTTCCACAGTCCCAGGATTGCATCTTAAATCTATATTCAAGCACCTAAATAGTCTGTTTTAATAAGTATTTAAATTCCTAATAGCTCTCATATGTAGGTAAATATGGATCCTAATGTAAATTTTGAAATTCATCAGTAGACCCATGTTTTTAGATATCTTGCCTCTAATTGTACAGTTTTCATTATATTAGTCACTTAAAAAATACAGAATACCCGAATATAGACCATCTTTTGAACATTAAAATAGGGTCAAAAAAAGTCATGTGTTATACTCCTGGACATGTATTTTTCTTTTTTTTTTTTTTTAGGTTAACACATGATACGGATTAGAATGTGTTGCAGCAAGACTGTATCTGCAGAGTCTTAAAAAGGTTCATTTTAGGGTGCTGCAAATTTGATCTGACTGCCGTGTAGGGTGTTGTTGTGGGTTAAGGTTTCTCCTTTTGTTTCCTTTCTTGGGGAATTTTTCTTTCCCATTTTGTTTCTGGGATACACTGATTGCCAGGTCATCCTTTTGATGGCTGGGTGATTGATGAAGACAAAAGAACCTAGCCCCACTTGAACAGTCTCCCTGGGCACGTCTCCTGCCTGGCAGGTTTTTTTTTCCCTTTGGAGAGAGGGAAGTTCTCACAAGAGTTTTGGGCTCGGGGTGGGGGGGGGTAGCTTCCCTTCCTGCCCTGCTTGGTTCAGGGGAGGACGGTGGACCTGCTGCCCACGGGGGAGAGCTCTCCTTCAGAGCCCAGTATCTCCGGTCGTTGGTTCCTGTTTGCTGCACTGTGATCTTCTGCCCCTGTGCCTTGCTGGAATCCCTGAGATTCCAGCTGCAGTGGTTGAGTTCTGCTCCATCCTGTCTCACAGCCGTGGGATTCTGCTGGTCTCCTTGCTCATCTGGCCGTTCTGAGGTTTCTTGCTGTCCAGAGGCGCATTGCGATCAGCATTTTCCCCTGTGAGTTTGCAGAGAAACTCTTTTCTCCGTCCATCTCTACCGGTTTGTGTCCACCATTAGCCACTGAAAGATCTGAACCCAGCYKGGACCCGCGCCACAGCGCCCCCCACAGCCGCTGTGGAATCATTGCACCCACCCTGCCCGGCTGGGAGCCAACAGCACCCCTGCCAAATGGGACTGTAACGGCACCAAAGGGGGGGGGTGGGGGGGTGTGTTTGTGTGTGAAGCTGTCACTGGGTTTGTGGCTATCGTGGTTGTTACTTGTTTCACCTTGTTATACATATTAGTAAAAACTGTTATTCCCTTTTACCCATATTTTTTTTCCTGAAAGCCTGTGATTTTCAAAGCTGTAATAATTCAGAGGGAAGGAGGGGTCATATCCACCACTCCAAGGGAGGGTCCTTGCCTTCATTGGCAAGCACCTGTCTTTCAAGCCAAGACAGSCGTAAAGGTATGAAAAATAACACATCAGATTGTGCATATGAAACTTATCACTGGAACAGCCCGAATGTTACCGATAGATTTTGAAAATATTTTAGCAATGTTGTGCATAGACCTGGGGCAGTACAGGGCAAGCTGGTCTTGTGGCTCACATCACTTCTTTACTAAGAGAGTAAAACATTCCCACAATTAAACCTTTCTTTTTCTTTCTTTTTTCTTTTTTTTTTCTTTTTTCTTTTTTTTTTTTTTCAAAGAAAAAGAAAATATTACAATGGAACATTGAAAGAGCCACATTACTCCAGTAAATAAATAATGATTTATTTGTAATAAATAATGACATTTGTAAATGAACATAGGTTTTTAAACAATTGATTTTAAAAATTGCTCTTGGTCTGACACCTCTGTTGCAATTTCTGTCCAGTTTTTTACAGCTGAGATAATTCCTGAACTATAGAGCTCATAACTAGACCAGTCTCAGATTCCAAACAGTGGCCCTGTGATCAGGTTCTACTACAAAGAAAAGTACAAAACCTCTAGGATTACCATGCTTCCCTTTGTTTGCTTAGTCCCTTGCAAACCAAAATCCAAAAAAACCCCACGGAAGATAAATTCATTACTGTTGCTTTCCTCCTGCAGCGTGTTAATAGGTTTTAGAAATTAAACCCTTTTATTAATTTGATTAAGTCAAAGGAAAATCCAAGGTTTCCATGAATAATTCAGATTAACATCATATCTTCAAAGGTCATATGTAAAACATTATTATACATCAAAAGGTCCTCACAGTCTAACATACATTTAATCTTCAGTAATGTTGATTTATAGTTTTATAAAGCTAAATAATACATATAATAAATTAACCTTATATTTCTGATCTCAGTCACTATAAAATTACTGCTGTAGTTTTACATTTTCAGTGTGAAATATTAAATACATAAATCAAAACAAGATTATTTTTCATCTGGAGCTAGCTGGAAACTGGTTTCTGAAACTGACATATTCATTTCAGACAAAATGAATGTCTTAGAAAAAAGATCTTTACTGAGTTCATTTTCTTGCTCTAAAAGAAACAAGAATTTTACATTCTAACATCCTGCTTTAGTTGGTTTCCCCATGACAGATGCTGAATCTTGCAAATGCCATGGCTGGAAGCAGCTCCAAGTTTCTCTTGTTCTCTGTGCCAGTATTCTCCTCATGGTCTTGGCCTGCTCAGAGATCATTCCCTTCATGGACTACAGCAGCTTTGCTGTTAGGCTGACRTTCTTCTGAGCTGAAATTTCTGTTAGGAGACATTTGTACACACAAATATATATATATATATGTACACACACACACATACATATACATGTATGTATACATGCATACATGTATGTGGGTATGGTGACCACCCCTAAAAATAATTGTTTCTCAAGAAGGACTTTAGGAAATAATAAGAGCTATTCTAATGTGTAAAAGCAGATTCAGCTGGTTTTGCATTATTGTCTCAACAGAAGTTTCATTGAGAGCTACAGATACTGTTTTGCATCTTTGATTAAAAAGAGTAAATTTAATTATAAGGAATCATTATAACGTTTAAATACCTTTCAGCTCTTGGTGCACTTCAACATTCAGCCACAAGAAGCTTTTAAAAGGAGTGATGATCCTGGAATACTAAAGAATTTCAGGGTGCGTAAATGAATAGGAAGTAAAACAATGTCTAGCTTAGACTAGACATTAGGGTGTTCCAGAAACCAGGACCACACCATCAACCACATGCTCACCKCAGGACCTTGCTTGAAACCTGGGACAGATCAAATTTTGGCAGCTTTTTATGTGGAATTGTGTTTGTGGTCAACTTTTTTACCCCTTATTTGCAATTGTAACACAGTTTCAGCAACAATACGCTAAAAGTACACCTCAGTAACATTGTATGGAAGAAGGTAATCAAACAGCACCTTTTGGAGCTATGTGCTTACCTTTCCTTCTGAAGAGATAATGGTGGATTTTCTTTGTTCCATATATTTGAGAAGTACTTGCATGAACACAGGGAATAAAAGCTGATAAAAGAGTTTGTTGTTGGGTTGTCTTCTGTGTTTTGGGGGGTTTTATTTCAGTTTAATTTCTTTAATTTTAATAACCAAGGAAAAACATCTCAGGCCCATCCAGGCTGTTGTGGATATGTACATCACACCCACAGGGTCCTGACATGACAGGGTCCTGACAGGGTGTCCCACAGCTGAATGTTTCCATGGGCTGGTTGGGAGCTTACTGAGTATGACAGTGCACACAGCAAACCTTTCAAGCATGTTTTTCAACTGCTGGGAAGATAATTACTAAAAAAGCATTTATAAACAGAGAAGAAAACCAAATTTTACTACTGRGTTTGCTGCTTGAGGAAGCAGTACTATAGGAATTATTATGAATGATTCTTCAGTGACATTACTTTTGTTATTCCTGTTTACCTCGTTAGTCTTTATTTTGTAGCAGCTCTGCTGCTAGCTGCATTTAAATTCTCAAGTTATCATTTTTCTTCACAATTAAAAATAGATCTTACAGGAAATTAACTTATATTTGCAGTATTTTTACTGGTAGAGCAGGTTATTCTTTTACTTTTTGAGTCATTGGGAGACAGAGGCAACTGAATGTCACAAATTATTAAACTCAGAAAGCCAGGAACTTCATTAAGGTACCTGTAATTCTCTGTATTGATAAAGAGCCAAATCTCAAGGTCTTGATGTGACTCTCGTTAAGACAAAAATCCACTCAGGTTACTAGGAATTTTATTTGCTCAAGACCTAGGGAAGGGTTTCAGTTTGGTGTGTGGTGGTTTCAGTCCTTCAGCTAAACCCTTACAGACTGAAAAGGCAGTGAATCTTTATACCATCCAGTTATTTGCAGACTAGTTTAATCAGACAGGAGAGATGGCATGAAACAAAAGAGGAATGCACAACATATACTCACTGAAGAGGAGTCTCTTTGTTCATTAATGTTCCACCACTAAGCTATTTTAAATTTCTTATTCTTTTGGAATCCAAATGTCCTACAAACCATGAGTGGCCCACCGAAAATATTAAATGATCAGCTATAGAAAACTATGACCAAATAGAGGAAGAAAATTGGATCTGGCTATTAGCTTTGGCCAGTCCATCTTAAGCTAATATGAAAAGACACAGCCATTGACTTCAGTTATTCAGTCTTGGAATGCTGCTGGATGCTTCAAAGGAGTCAGTGATACTGCAATGGCTGGGAAAAGGCAAGTGTTCATTGCCATATGAGGCAGAGATGGAGCATGCAAATGATCCCAGAATCCATTTTCTCTCTGCCTTGCATTTCTCTGTATGCCATAAACCAGTGGCCCAGATGGAGAGGAAATGCAACATTTTCCTTCAATTTTCTTTTGCAAAATAAGAAAATCTACCTCTACTAATCAGCAGTTACATCACAGAAGCAGAAAAAAGACAAGAACTTAGAGGATCAGACAAATCTACTGACAAAAAATTATAGATTTCTAGCACYTCTAGAATCCTATATTAAACTGTCTGGTTGTTTACTTCTAAATTCCCTTGGAAGTTCTAGTCAAAATCATCCTTCATAAAATTTATCAAATCAGCAGGTGTGTGAGAGGACTTTTAAAAAGTACATCAAACATAATAATTTGTATGTATAGTGAAACAGCAGTCTTTGTTTTGTTCAAGTCTAACCATTTGCAATTTAATATTGTATGACTGCAGCACACTGTGTGATTAGAAAAGTGTGTATATATTATGCATATATAGACTCATCATAAGAAATCACAAGAAAAAAAACTGTATTGCAACATACTATCTCAAAGCAGTTTTCTTTCTTTCTTTCTTTCTTTCTTTCTTTCTTTCTTTCTTTCTTTCTTTCTTTCTTTCTTTCTTTCTTTCTTCTGCTTTCTTCTGTTAACTTTAAAGAAGGAAAGGTGAACAGCAATTCTCTTCTGCATATATAAGCAGTTGTTGAGGTATCAGATCATCTCCATAATGTAATTAACTTTATCACATTTAAGKTCAGCAGTTATTTATTGTTTCTAATACAGTGCTCTGTAACTGTGACTTTTCCTTCATATTTTCCAGTTTTTACTTTACGACTTCATGGGCATATCTTCATGTATTTAAAATACTGAGTTCTTATTGGTCCTCATGATTAATTGTTTTCAAGCTATCAAAGGAAAGATAACATTAAGTACACATAAAACCATAAAAACATAAACAATGCATATCTGTCAAGGTTATGAAAATCTGAGTCAAATTTAGTTTCCATTAAGCCCAAGAGACGATGCTTTACAAACAGGTGAGATGGAGATAAGATGTAAAGAACTTAGAGAAAATAGAAATATTAATAACCCAAGGCTTTGGAACATGCAAAATTGTTGCAGTATGTTTTTTTTCTGCTGCAGCATGCCTACGCTGAAGTAGTTAGAGTGAGGAAAAGACTAATGGAGTACACAGGAAAGAAAAGATGATAAATTGAAAGTGAGGAAGTGAATGAAACTGACACTTGCTTAAAAGCAACATATAAGGAGCTGTAAATTAGGAGCTAATCACTTAACAAGGAACAGAAAACTGAAGCTGACTACAGAAAAGTTTCATGAGAGAAGTCCCAGAGGAGCAGCTCCCAGGACAGGCTGCCAACCCCAAACTGTCTGAAAGATTTAACCCATCTTGCAGAGGGATTTCTCTGTCTCGGACAGAGGGTATTCTCTGTCTGCCAGACTTACCTGGTTGGGCATCYTGGTCATAAAGCTTAGTTTAAACTGGCTGGGATCAGTCTGGCAAGGTTAGGGAAAGGCAGTTGCAACCCAGATGAAAGAAAGAAGGAGCCATTGCATCATGGTGAATGATGTCATGTGCCTTGACCAGTGACTTGGGTGGAGAGAAACCAAACCCCATTTACTCCCGTGCATCTGTATTTCACATGTGAATGAGAGAGAGAGTACACCAAGAAAACCATTATTATTATCATAAGTCACAAGGGAAAAAATTTACCTCAGGTGAATAGTTCACAATTTTCTGTGATTTCTCTTTGCCCAGTGATAAATCCTTTCCATGGCTTATGTCTATAGGTTGGGCTCAACACTGATTGCTCATTAGCTACCTGTTTACAGCCTTTTACCATCAAGTTTTGACAGGCTCCATTAGGCAATTCAGCTATGAGTTATGCTCTGCTCAGGAACTGCCAGCATCCAAGTGCAATAATTTCAGTTCAAGAAGCACGGTCTGTGCAAAGTCCTCAGCAAAGTGCTTCTCCATCTGGAACATGTTTAGTCTTAGAATAAAGACTAATATTAATRATAATAATTAAAATAATATTAATAATAATAATGTCCTTACAGCAACCATTGGATTTATAAAAAATAACAGGTGTAAATGTGAAGACCAAGGGCATTTATCTCTAGGAGGAATGCCAGTTGAATGGGCTCCAAGGCCCTGACTCAGTTGCCCTCCCTCAGAGGTCTGGTGCCACGTCAGACATGATGCTGTGTCCCAGTTGGCCTCCATCTGTCTCTCCAGAAGGCTGCAGGCCTCCTCATGGGCTGGAGCCACCACTTCAGGCAGATATCTTCGATACTTTAGGGTATCCAAATATTTATGCAACACAATGCAATCAACCCCCAAACCTTCAACCTCATTCATCTAAGAATGCAATTTGGCTCAGAGGCACAAAGCACAAAGTGCTAAATACTGTGAGTCACAGCTATGCTCAGACAGAAGGCTCACTGTCCAAAATCCCATTACAGTCAATGAGAACCTGATCAAAAGAGTCTAGAAAACCACATGGACTTCACAGTGGGCACCCGTACCRTTCAAAAGCTATTGTTGACAGCTCAACTCTGATATTTAATCTGGACATTAATCCCATGCTACATATCCTAAGAAAAGGATACAAGGACCATAGAGGCTGAAGCACAGGGAGCTAGTCAGAAATCTCTGAAGTGAACCCTTAAGAATTCACAGCACAGAACAGAATTAGAGTGAGTCTAAGACCAAAGGAACGWCTTTCAACCCAAAATTCGTAGGTGTTCAAAATTAACAAGGTAAACAGAACAGAACATATTCCACTCTGTTTCAGAAAATGAGAGAACACACAAAAAAGCATAATCTGATATATATCAAGCTCTTGCCATGTTCTTCACCTTTCAAGTATTGAACTTCAGTGGATAGATATGCAAATATTTATCAACTGCTTAGGACTACCTGTAGATGGATTCACACACCACCTATGAAGGATATGTAACAACATCATTTCCTAATCATGGCGCAACATGAACCATTTTGATAACTAAGAGTAATCTGACTACCAAATAATGCTCACACCTATTTAGACAGAAACCTAAGACCTTAATAAGGTGCAACACTTTAAGCATTTAAAACTTAGATCTAAAGAACTGTGAAGATTTTAAATTACCAAGTAAGCATCATACTGGTCTAGGCAACACAATGAATCATTGTGAATCACCTGGCAGAAACTGCAACTCAACTTCAAAGCAAAAATTAGTGGCTTGGACCTCAGGGTGGAGGGAGCTATAAAACACTAACATCAGCTTTTGCATGTAGCAAGCTCATTAGAGAAAGCTTGCCCTGCCCGGTATCTTGTATTACTAATTTAAGGACTTTTCTTGCAACTCACCTTCTTTTCCTATGCTCTCTTTCACTGCAAATGCAACAGGTAATACCACTGTGGTGTAAGAGCATTTTTTTTCTCTCTGGAAGTCTTTTGCCTTTTTATTTACTTTGCTCTCTGCAACAGTTTTTGTTTTTTTTTTTTTTTTTTTTTTTTTTTTTTTTTTTTTTTTTTTTTTTTTTTTTTTTTTTTTTTTTTTTAATTCCTGGTTTTAGAGGGCACTCCCAGAGGAAGTTTCCAAAAGAATTCTCATTTGGTCATTTGACCAATTTCCTCTAGGATATTCCTCTGCTCCTTGCTCTGTTCAGTCCTCTCATGATTTTAAATTATGAGGAACTCAACTTAAATCAATAGATRCCTCAAGTCTGAGTCTGTGAGAAGTGTGCATTTGGTGGAAAGCTGCAGGATTCATCTGTCTCTCTTGCACTCAGCGCTTCTACTTACACTTCATAGCAAAGAAGAACAAACTTTTCCTCCCCTAATTGCGTCTGTTTCAAGACCCATTACTGAACCCAGGCTGGAGACACAACATACCACCCAGAAGAAACACAGCTGATTTAAAAATTATTCTCCAAGTACCAGAAAGCCAAACTCTTGTCTACAATCAGGCTATTTCCAATACTCTGGCATGCGCAGGATAGATGCTAGGGATGGTTTTAACCAATTTACACTGTCAAAGCAGTGTCAAAGAATCAAATCTTCATTAGATGAGAATCAGACCCAGGGTCTCTCAGTCTTGTATAACTCATCTGTGGTTGTGTCAGCATGCATGAAGACAAGAATGAAAGCGGACTAAGAAAATGCCTCCCAGCTTAAAAGGAGATAATTAAAAAATGGAATGCAAAATAAATCAGCCAACTCATCTTTAAGAGAAGCATAGCCCACACAGGAGAAAGAGCCAAGCTACTGCCATCCCCTCTCTGGAGGATAAAGGAGGACATCTGTGAAAAGTCCTCCCTTAAGCTCCTCCAGAGCAGCAAGTGCGGGAGTTGAGAAGACATTAATCACATTCCACCCTTTGTATCTGAGGGAAAAAACACTGTGGAATGAAAAATATGACTGAGAAACACCACCTACCTCTGGGATCAGATTTGGTAATGAAATATAACCAGCTCTTTATTGGTGAGGTTCTGAATTCCTGGGTCGGAACAAGTGGGAAGTTTGCTGTATTTCTCTATTTTACAATGTGAAAGATTTCCACCAGAATTTTTTCTGTCTCAGTACACCTTCCAGCAAGGAAGGGGGAGACATGTATAGACTTCTTGGACCATAAGTATAACTCTAAAGCTGTCTGTTCAGACAGTATGTAAATTCAGACCTTTGATGGTCAGCACTGGTGCCACTACCCAATTAGTGTTATTAGGGCTCTCAGATGTGCGGGTGCTCTGTAATAATTTCATTTGAACATGATTAATGTTTTTTTACTTTCTAGCCCAAGATGTTGTCTTGTGTTGCTTTGCACAGTCAAACARTTTCCACCCCAGTGGTGGCTGAAGTTCACAGGGTAAGTGAAGTGGTTCACACCTATATGCTTTGTCTCTAAAAAGACTTTCACATCCCATGGGACAAAAGGCATATTTAGAAATGCAAGTCATCTTTGTCATCAATAAATTAGGTATCGAAACACAAAAGCCAGATACAGAGGCATGATTTCTTTTAGTTTCATTCGTATCTAAAAATATACATCTCCCAGARATATAGATATACACCCCAGAGCTCATGAAATTGTTCAAACTGGTTTTAATAATAGTCATTATGTTAAAAAATTAAATATCTCCTTGTGTCAGAGATGAACTGGGAAGAAACAAAGGAAGCAAAGTAACTCCTGCAGCACCTTTGTGCCCTTCTAGAATTGCTGCWCATCATTCTTTCTTTCAGCAGCTCCCTTGCTCCTTCTGTGCAAAAGGTACCACCACCTAATGAAACAATCAAGGCCTGACAGCTTAAATACATTTCTCTGTTCTTTTCAAGAATAAGTGCCAGACATCAAGACAAACTATACCCTCTGCGTCACTATCAGCCGAGTCATTGTTATCCCAGCTAGAGTGCCCTAAAAATAAAAGCCATTCTGTATGTGCAGCTTCATCAAGTCAGGTCATGCCAGCCGTGCAGGGTGGACAGCACTGTATTAATTTTATTACTCTATTTTTAAACATGACCTCCTTAGATCTCCTAGTGTATCCCACATAAAAATGCAGAATTAACATATTGTGTTCAAGTTTCTACTCCCAACCACCGCCARCTTCTGAATATCTTACCCAGTAAGTGCATTTGCTATCCAAAACTATGAAGAAGTGTCCATATTTGGCTTAATATTACCTGCTGTGGCATTAATGACTTAATGTCACCTGATGGCTGTTCAGGAGTCATGAGATGAAACCAGAATTTGTATCTGCAAGATTGATCAGTGTCAACAGTTTCAGTGCCCCTGGCACTATATTTCACAGAGGGTTCCATCCCTTACAACTGAACTGAATTATACAAGGCCACAGATGCAGTGGGAAAGTTTCATCCTGTGTTACCTCAGATACACTCATGGCTGGAAGTCACACCAAGTACTTTTGTCTCTCACAGATAAATAAAAAATTCTTAGGTTTTTCTGGTAACTCTGAGGAATTTTATCCTCGATAGCTGTCCTGCCATAACACCAAGGTCACTCAGACTATCTACGAGTTATAGTGCTAGCAGAAGACACGAAAATAGAAGAATTGCCTATATTTTTCAAGGCAAATTGACRGAACTCCATTGGTGCATAGATTTACACCAAGCTGCAGCTCTTGGATCACCATTCATATTTGGACTTTTTACACCAGCTGACACTGAGCAGGTACATACATTACGGGATAACTTGTTCAAACATGAGATGAATAAAAAAGTACTTTTCCCTCCCTGACATACATTCCTCAAGTGAAACAGCTTCAAGGCAAACAAAAGACATTGCTGTTGGTGCCATAGTGGTGGTTTCAGAAAACAATGATGATCCATTCAGTGTTCAGCATGCACTCAATAAAAACCCACACAATACACTGTGAGAGGCAGGTAAGGAAGAGGAACTGCATTCAGCAGCTTGGCATAGCAAGKTCCTTTGACATTCAAATTGTAATTATTATCCTAAGCAATGCCATGTTGCCAAGGGTCAGACAGGAACATCTGTTAGGAGCTTTAGGCTGAATCTGCGGAGAGCAACTGGTTCTGTCGCGTTCCAAATGTAGGGAACTGCGAGGAGTTGTTTTAAAAAGGATGGTCAAGAACGAAATGAAGTCAAACGAGACAAACTTTGTATCTCAGAACCATTTATTGGTAACCCGAAAACGGAGAAGAAGTAGCTGCCCACTAAAGGGGGCTGGAAAA